ACTACCCCGGCCTCTGGTCTACTTGCTGAAGGCTAAATAGTTGGGAGATGTCATCTGGAGATCGTCAAATACTTTATCGCTATTTTTGTTTTTTGTTATCTAAATTGTATTTTTTTAACCCATTTAGTACTTAGTAATTACACAAATGTTAGGTAGTAGTACTTTGAGATGTAGATCGTTGCCCAAACACAGGCACACACACACACACACATAGGGAAATACTTCAGGCACTCAACTGCTTATACAGTTGGGCTACATACCGATAATTTGAGTACCCGAAAGTTCACATTGTGAGCCATTCATGTGGTTTTTAAGCCGGCTAAGGGCTTTCTTGCTGCCTCGAACTCAGCTAGAACAACAACAGTAGCATGGTAATTGTATTAATGCTGTGACACGGATCGAAAGAGTCGCTGCAACAACAAGGTCCTTTTTTGTTACGAGATCCCATTGAATGTTCAATATGATTTCTTGTTTTGTGGCTGTTGTCGGGGCAGACTTGGGTTAAGTTCCGATTCGTGCTGCACGACGCATACCTTTGCCACCTTTGTCAGCAATGCTCATAAAAAATTCAGCGAGCGTTCTACTGCGGCAACCGCAGTGCCTGCAACTGCAGTGCCATCGAATCGACAGAGCCGCAGACCGACAGAACTTGAACTCGAAGGGTATCTAAATATGGCTAATCTAACGTATTTGTATAGCTGGAAGCCGATACAGATGGAAACTTGAAATTGAAATTTCACCTGCGCTGAGTGAATTAATTATTAATTAAAATGTGCCTTAACTGAAGCGTTAAAATCATGACAAATGCTTTTCAAACTGCCTCAAACTTGCCAACTCAAGATTAACAAGCTACTCCACAAACATGCAATTATGAAGATGATTGAACCAATTTCTCCTAGTTACGATATTAGCGGAACAGTTTTACTTCAGCACTGCGCCCGAAACTTCACTTTTTGATCCCATTCCGTTTTGAATTGAATGGGGTTGAGGGTATTTACGAGTAATTGCACGGACAGCATTCCATTCTTGTTTATATTTGAGACCCGATTCTTAGCTAAAGCTGTTCAAAACAATTAATTTAATGCTTTTCAATTATTCTATGAATTAAGGAAACAGAATTCCAAACTTATTAAGTAGTTCCATGCCTCCGATGCCACATCGCATCGTCTTGTTTATCAATTAGACACGCACACATTCACAGACATGGGCAATCGGTGAGTGCATTCGTAATGCATTTGCCACATGCAACATCCGCCAGAATCGTTTCTTTTCGACAACACTGAATTGTTTATTGCACCGAAATGGAAAGCAGGGCCTTTTTGGTACAGATTTATGCCTGCCTCTCAGTTGTTAGTTGATTCTATTAATATTTTTATACTGCCCGAAACTTTTCGAAGTGTTACAAATTTTATGAACGCGCCCTAAAGCCGTCGCAGGCTTAAATGCCGATGCTAAACATTTTTCTAAATGAGGCATTTTTAATTGAGTTTGGCATTTTTTCATTATGGTCTCTCTCAGTGTCATAATTTTGGAGTTTTCAAGAAGAATATTGACGCCGCTTGCCATGATTAAAAATATATGTGCGTGCCCCTTGAAAGGTCGCCACTCGGCCATTTTCATTTCTATTATACTTGGAACTTGAATTTAAATGAAAATTGCCTACATTCTATTTATGAATTGAATGGCACTCGATTGTGAGGCACAAATATTTCTTTTTCAATGTGATGTTCAATTTGTTTACTTATGAGAACGTCTGATACAACTCTACAGTTCAGCCTCCCTTTAACCAACCTTTAAAAATAGTTTTCGTGTGTGCCAGCATTTTTTAGTTGCGGATATATTTGAAATATGTAAGGCCGAATCGGAGGTAGCAAATAAGCTTTCAAATAATTCGTTTTTGTTATAGCATAGTTCGACTGTATGTCTATCGGAATATAAATGAATACGCATCCAATTGAAGCATGCCTCAAATCCTATTCTTACTCATCAAGTGCCATTCCATTCAATATGAAGTTACAATTTTTTAAATACGCAGACTCCATATATTGTTAATAAATTTTGTAGCTGCTGTTGATGGGTGTTGAACTGCAAAGTGGATGAAAATATTTATACTTTATTGCGACAGCTAGCGATTCAACCCGAACTGTGTAGATGCTTGAGTTCTGTGCACCCTCGGCCGCCAAAAACATCTAAACGCACGCTGCATGTTGGAACTTGCTTAAAAAATAAATTTGAATCAGTCTGCGCCCTGGAGTTATTTTAATGATAGCCCATTGAGTTTTACCCTCATGTTACTCATGAGGGCGCAATTGTATTAAAAAGTAACAAAAAGTAATAATAATAATAAATAAATCATAGGCGAGTTAAAACATAAAACAACTGCACTGTTTATCCTGCATCCTTTTCCCGCCCAAATCCATTCTCATCATCATAACAGTCGTCCATAATCTTCGACGGGAAACATCAAAGTGTGCGCAGCATGAGTTCGTCAAAACGTCAAAAAGGCTGTCTGTTCTTATTTTTAGCGTCGCGGATCTATCAACACTTGCGCCGGCGTTAGCATCGGCGCCTAGACAACGCCTAGCCTAGCCTAGCCTTTTCCCAGATCAAATAACGGGCCATATGTTTGCAGCCAATACAGCTACTCGCAAACGCAGTGTGTGATAATTTCCAGTTGTTAAGTTGCACATCTTGTCTGAGTCAAGCCTGAGTATGTACCCGTATGTGAGTTTTTGTGTTCTAGTTTAAATGAGTTTCCACTTTTCAAAACATTCTATAGTGTCCTTGCAACGCCAAGGTCTGCACACATACCAACAAACTGTGTGATTTCCTCAACTTATTTCGAGTGTAAATAGTTTTTGCACGTTAAATATTTATTTTCTTACACAACTTTGTTTATATTTCCTGAATGTAACCATTTGTTAATAGCACACTCACGTAAAAAATAAGGCCAATTAGGAATCGCATTTCAAATATTTTTATTTCAAAACGAAACTTTTAACTTGTAATTGAAAAATTGTATTATGGTGGTATTATATAAAAAAAAATTACATTATAAAATTGTATTTCAATGGACATTTGTGAGATCAATCTTTTCGTAAAGGTGCATCGAAGAGAAACTTTATGTTGATGGATCTACTTGAGGATTGGAATTTCCATCCTTTTTCGATCAACTTATATGCAAAAGTTAACTGTTAACCAAATTTGACATATGGGCAAGGGCTAAGGCAGGGTGTTTCCCCCCTGAAAAATGACGAGAGAAATCGATCTAGACATGTCCGTCCGTCTGTCCGTCTGGATGAACGCAATAATCTCAGAAACTATAAAAGCTAGAATAACCAAAGTTGGCATCCAGATTCTCCTAGGTCCGAGTAAGGACGAGTTTATTTTATTTATTAAATTTTCCCCCCCTTCCCCCGCTACAGAATTTCGTCAATAGCGTCCACATTTCAAATGCTACCTAAACGAAACTTTGCACACATAATTTATATATAATTGTCTACTGTTGTTCGATTTTATTCAATTCGGTCAATTCTAAGAAAAGTTATTAGCAAAACAAATTCTCACCAGTACAACCCCCCCAAACTGCAGCAACAAGTTCGCTCTTCTTCTTCCTCTTTTTGCTGCTGCTATGGGCGCATATAACTCAGTGACGGAAGTTTACCTGGGTACAGGGTATTACACTGTCGGGCTTGCTCGACTGTAGCGTTCTCTCTTGTTTTATCTTATTTTTCCGTAAAATTCACTTACATATGTTCCATTTGGTTATCTATGGGCCCCATTCGTGACGAAAACTAATAACTCTTAGTAGGAAACAATTTCTGCTTATTAGTTTATTATAGTGCCAAACCACAATTTAAAGAACTATTAAAGTCAGCTCATTATATAGTAAAGGCTGCAGTGGGACTTAACAGTCGGGCTGGCACGACCTTGATGTTATAATGTTCATAGGAAAGGAATTTTGGATATAAAAATATAAAAACACTCTATAAATCATATCGTTTATGTTATAGCTTTATTATAAAGTGTTCTGGCATGGGCACTCTCCTCGGCACAAAAGTCCAACGCGATAAATGCTCGGGGACCCAGATTTATGTTCGCCTTGTTATGTTGAACCTGTAAAAACCATTTTTAGACTCAGCGTCTATCCGAACTGACATTTTTCTATTGTCTTCCAGTGTGATTCCTATGTAAGTAGGTTGTAATTTATACACAACTTTTTCTTCTGGCTGCCCTTAGATACCCGACCAGTTCCCATGATATTGCCTCAAAATTCTCATTATCGACCAACTGAAGGATTTTCTAGTTCACAGCTTATACCAAAAGCTCATTAGCGCCAGAGCGACACAATCAAAACGCAATTAAAATTTAAATATAAGTTCCAGACGCGTGTGACATTTGGCGGAGAACAGAGATTTCTGCCAACCATCATGTGCGTGCTTTTTAAATTTTATGCTTCAGCCCCATTTATTTTTATTCAATCTTTCCTTTTCGGCTGCAACAGCTGATCTCGACCTTTTCGAAACAAATTTATGTCCGAGTCTTTACTTATACATTCATATGTATATACATATGCATATCTATATACTTTATGGATGCTATATGTAGTTTACAAACTTGCTAATTTTAGCCAGACTCATTTTTTTACCTAACGTGTTTTTAAGTACGTGTAGAATATATCGATCATTATTAAAGAAATTGGCTGTTTAGTTTGTACATCTCCATTCATATCACCTTATCAACCTATCTCGAAACCCCTACAAAATGAATACAGATAATTTTACAAACAAAGCTCGAAACTATTTGGGTAATCGAATTGGTTCCACCTGTCAGTCACTTGACATTGACCCAAACGAATTGGACTTATGGGATTACATAAATACAAGCTTTGGGTAAAGCTCGAATTATTAATTGAACTGTTAACTTTGGCTCAGCCTATAATAACAAAACTTAATTGCATTTTAAGCTTATGAAAGTATATTTTGTTCCTTTTTTTGTAGCACAATTCGGTGACTTTTTTCCTGACCTTTATGATTTTACAAAGCACACTGTGATACATCCCCGAGTGCATCACGGAAAAACAAGGCGCAGTTTACAGAGCTCTCTGGATGCAGTGGTAAGTTCAATATTTTACTGTACGCTCCCCTTTATACCTATAGTATAGTAAATAGATATGTATCACATTGTCTGTGAAAGTGATGCAGCTATGATTTTAGTTATCAGTATCGAAGGGCGATGTAATAAATCCACTGTTCAGGTAGTTCTGGCCTTTATATTGCATTTATATTGTATTGGTCATCGTTCTCCCGATCAGTCCGGTTGTTGCCTGTTAAATCGGCCAATAAATCGTGGCTTTAGAAATAGGATATATATATAATTCCACTTCAATGAATGTTACCGATTTTAAATAAGTTCACACCTTTCAATGACTTTTGCACATGTTCGTCCGAATCCAAGTCATCATGATCGTTGCAACTTAAATTTTTCGAAATAGATTTATCGAGCATAAAAGCTAACTTAGTGCTTTCAGTTTCTTAACCTCTTTTTCCGATGCTGAACTTTGTACCAATAATAACAAGAGAAAACGCTACAGTCGAGCAAGCCCGACAGTGTAATACCCTGTACCCAGGTAAACTTCCGTCACTGAGTTATATGCGCCCATAGCAGCAGCAAAAAGAGGAAGAAGAAGAGCGAACTTGTTGCTGCAGTTTGGGGGTTGTACTGGCGAGAATTTGTTTTGCTAATAACCTTTCTTAGAATTGACCGAATTGAATAAAATTTTAAACAAAAGTAGATAATTACTTATAAATTATGTAGGCAAAGTTTGGTTTAGGTAGCATTTGAAATGTTGACGCAATTGACGAAATTCTGTAGCGGGGGAAGGGGGGGAAAATTCCAAAAAATAAAATAAACTCGTCCTTACTCGGACCTAGGAGAATCTGGATGCCAACTTTGGTTATTCTAGCTTTTATAGTTTCTGAGATCCTCGCGTTCATCCAGACGGGCGGACAGACGGACGGACATGTCTAGATCGATTTCTCTCGTCATGCTGATCAAGAATATATATACTTTATGGGGTCGGAGATGCTTCCTTCTGTATGTTACATACTTTGCACAAACCTAATATACCCTTTTTACCCTACGGATACAGGGTATAAAAACAAAATGTCAATTTAGACGCAAATGTCATAAAATTGTTACTGGAAGTCGGTACGTTTCCATATACAGATGGGACTACAACTACCAGAAAATTCTTCTTCCAAAAGTGGTGTTTACTTTATTTTACAGCTATTTGGTATTATAACGGTATTTTGTAATAATAATATCAGAGTCTTAATTTGTAACAACTTTGTTTACCATTTGGGGCGTTAAGTTTATTGTGTGTACGACATTCTCATTAGAATAATTTGCTATGTTGAAGGCCATCGTATTTGTATAAAAACAGGCGTGACCTTCCGCCGTACCACAGGATTACGGGAGTGGGAATATATGAGCCCAAGGCTCCCTTTTTAATGAATTTTAGCGGTGAGGCAGCTGATCAATGGTTGGTTCAAAATTTAGTGTTGTAGCGACCCTGATGATGATAAGTGTTCACCACACAATAGTTTTGTTAGTTGTCGTAGCCGGTGCAGCAAGTTGTTCTGAACATATATTAAAGTTGCTCATTACTGATTTTTTAATACGCCTTCCCATTCTTGCCTCTCAACTATCTCCAGGATGGCCTCCACACGCCGCACATAACCTTGACCTACACGCACGAGGGTCAACGCATTCAAATCGAGCTTCAGCGCAATGACGACTTACTGCCGGCAGAACATTTCCTGCGCTATCAGAATGCAACAGGTGGTGGCTATAAGCAAGTGATAAGCAATTTCACAAAGACTGAAATTGATTTATGTCTTTATCAGGTGAGTCGACTGTTCGCACTTTCCCGATGCACAACTAACGGCACCTTCCATATCCATTTATACAAATATAGGGCTATATACGTGGGCATCCGGACTCGAAGGTGGCTCTCTCAACTTGCGGAGGCAGGCTCAGCGGCTTCGTGTCCGATGGCACACACTCATACTTTATACATCCGAACGAGGAGAGCAGCGGACGCTTGCAGGATGCACATTATCTACTTAGGTATGATACATAAAAATCAAATAGACCTGCTCAAAATATGTACAATATACAGAACTGAACAATTCTATAAAATGCTTCCGTGTTTGGTGTTGTTTCAATATTTGATTATTATCGGAGCCATTCCATTAAGTCCTCACAAAAAGCCATATACGTGTAGATTGGCATTAACAGCTTGTGCTCCACATACACGTACTGTCCTCGAAATTTATTTATTAGAGGTTGCGCTTCCGTGAAATGCTATACTTGTACTATATATTTACGTGTGACTGATTTCCAGACACGCTGACATGCGCGCACAAAACAGAACCTGTGGGGCGGGTGATAACGCGGAGGCGCATGGCCATAATGAATCGGACATAACAAAGTCCAAAACGAATGGCTTGAATGGTTTTAAGTTTGGACGCATGTTGCGGGTAAGTCCAGCTAGATTAGAAAGTTCAGCCCTTTTTAAGGACTCCATTAATTTCAGCGAAAGCGACATGCAGATGACAATCAGTTGATACGTGGTCCCTACAATGCCAACAAATACTCCTCATATGTGGAGCTTGTTATTGTGGTGGACAACAAGGTGTACAAACACTTTGGCGAGAATACCAAAAAAGTTCATCAGTACTGCAAGGAATTGGCCAACATTGTAAATGCCGTAAGTAGTAAGAGCTCACCTCACCGAACGCTTTCCTACCAATTCAAAAACATTCATTAATTTCATTCAATAACAAGAAAGGAATGCTAGAGTCGAGCGGGCTCAACTCTTAAATATTCTGTACACACTCCCAAAGATAAGAAAAAAATGTGAATTTTAAATTAATTAATGTGTGTGAGGTACAAAATTATGTCAACAAACATCATCAACAACAGCTGCGGAGCTGGGTCAGATTATTAATTTATGGATTAATTTATGGCTATAACTTTCTTTCTAATTGATCTATCACAATGAAACTTAATCACTAACTGGATGTGACTACCAAATTTTAGTTCAATTCCAAGAATTGAGTGAGTTAGAGAAAATCGCGAACAAAGAGGGAGTGGGGCGGGACTATCGGAAAAATGATCAAACTTACCCTTTCTCGGGCTTAGGAGAATCTACATACCAAGTTTGGTTATTCTAGCTCCTATACTTTCTGAGATCCTTGCGTTCATACAGACAGACATGGCTGTATCGACTTTCCTTGTCACCCTGAACAATAATATATATACTTTGTGGGGTCTGCCAATTCTTCTGTGTGTTACATGTACACTCTCGCACAAAACTAATATACCTTTTTATCCTTTGGGTACAGGGTATAAATATAACCTTAGATTTAGGCTCTTTGTATTTTTGATTGGTTGCACTGATCAGAACTTTCAGTCAGATTTTTGAAATAAAAACAACAATAACAGAATTGAGTTTAATGCATTTTTATCCTCTGAACGATCCTTGTCACAACCACGAGGGTTTCCAAACTTTCCACAATCCCACAGCTACATAAACTCTTTACGTAATATATAAATATTGAGAAATGGTCTACGATTCTTTCCTCCGGGTGGTACAACCTGTAACTTGCACTTTTCAGTGAAGAATTTAAAAATAGCCCAATACGAAACAACATTTTAATTTAATTTAACATTAAACAATGTGAATTAAGAATTCTTAATAGGGCGCCCCCGACTTCGGTGGATTTTCTAATTCCACACCATAGAAATTGCCAACATTAAGAAAAGTACATAACTGTTTAATACAAACATAGTAAATATTTTCACTAGCAGATATATTACTTAATTTTTTGGCAAAAACTTCTTCCTGATATTTAGATATTGAAATACTTTCATACTTTAACTGATACTCCTATCGAAACCTATATTAATTTTTCTCACCTTCCCAGCTGTACGTGCCTTTGAACATATTTGTGGCGCTCGTCGGTGTGGTTATCTGGAATGAATCGAATGAGATTGAGTTCTCCAGCGATGGCGATGTGACCCTGCGCAATTTCCTCAACTATCGCAGCACTAAACTTGTGTTAGACCATCCTAATGATAACGCACAACTTTTGACAAAGGAGGTCTTTGCTGGCGGAGTGGTCGGAAAGGCTCTGAAGGGACCCATCTGCACGTACGAATACTCGGGTGGGGTTTCTATGCAACATAGCCAAATTTTGGCGGTAGTGGCGACGACCATGGCACATGAGATGGGCCACAACTTTGGGATGGAGCATGATTCATCAGAATGCAAGTGCCAGGACGAGAAGTGCATCATGTCCGCCTCGAGCACGGCGGTAGTGCCAGTACACTGGAGTAGCTGCAGCATCGACCAGCTGACCATTGCGTTTTCACGTGGCATGAATTATTGTCTGCGAAACAAACCCGCAAAACTGTTCGACTCTCCACAGTGCGGCAACGGGTTTGTTGAGCCTGGGGAGCAGTGTGATTGCGGTATGCCCAACCATTGCGAGAATACCTGCTGCAATGCCCACACCTGCATGCTACACGCCAACGCTTCGTGCGCCACAGGAGAGTGCTGCGATTTGAACACTTGCCGGCCCAAAGTGGCCGGAGCAGAATGCCGCGAGGCTGAGAATGAATGTGATCTACCAGAGTACTGCACGGGTGAATCAGAGTACTGTCCTGCAGATGTCTATCGCCGTGACACGGAACCGTGCGACGGAGGGCAGGCATATTGCTTTAAGGGCAATTGTCGCTCTCATGCGAATCAGTGCCGCATACTGTGGGGACCCACCGGCGACAATTCCGAGCATTGCTACTACAAAAATACCGATGGTTCACGGATGGGTAACTGCGGGTACAATCGGTTGAACAAGACATTTGTAAAGTGCAAGGATACAAATGTTAAATGCGGCATGCTCCACTGCATCCATTTAAATGAGCGACTGGAATTTGGTATGGAATCGGCAGCCGTTTTATCACACTCTTATGTCAGCCACGATCGCAAGATCGTAGCTTGCCGCACCGCCCTAGTGGATTTGGGGCTGCAGAGCACCGATCCCGGCCTGACACCTAATGGCGCCAAGTGCGGCGACGACAGCATGTGTGTCCATCAACAGTGCTTGCCCGTGGAAGAGGTGCGGAAGCTGGGCATGGGTGCCCGTTGCCCGGATGATTGCAATGGCAAAGGAAAGTGCAATAGTCGTGCCCATTGCCACTGCGACATTGGATTTGCTGGCGAGGCATGCACGCGCCCCGGCCCTGGTGGCTCTGTAGACAGCGGTCCAGCCACAGATCCTACTGGTAAGTCAAAGTGACAAACTTCGATGTCATTCAAAAACGGAACATTTGTTCATGTTTCACGAGCAACTTCTAACATCCTTCGTAGACCATTTTCAATATTTTAACTCGCTTTTCTCTCTTTCAGCCAACAAAATCTTCCAGCATTTCCTGTACATTCTATTCTTCGTTGTCGTACCGATGCTGTTTGTGTGCGTTTTGTTGTACCGGTGCCGGGAAACGAAGTACCTAGCCGGTGGAAAGTTTTCCGAGAACATGTATGTATCGTCGTCTACGTCTAGCAGCAACAGCAGTAGCAGTAGCAGTGCATGGGCTCCGAAGGCTCTCCCCTTTCCCTCCTCTACTCACACTGCTAGTTCACCCACTCTGAGTTCCGAGTCTTGTCCAAAGTCTAACACTGCTAACTCACACATTAACACGGCAACAGCCACCGCCACAATTACTAACATACACGCCACACTGCCACGCTTCAAATCTAGCCAGCAACTGTCCACCGGCTGTTCCAAGCCGGCTATACCGAAGAGTCGAAGCAACTACGAGGTCCACATAAAGGTGCCAAGCACCTTGCCCAGCCCCCACTCCAGGCGCAAGTTGTCGCCGCCAGCCCACATTTATGTGGCGGCACCCACGCCAATTGCACATACACCTAACACCAACAACAACACCAACAACAACACCAACAACAACACCAACAACAACACCAACAACAACACCAACAACAACACCAACAACAACAGCAACAACAATGTAGCACTTAACAAACACCCCAACACTAACAACAACAGCACACTGAGGCGAAAGCTGGACATAACGGCTCCACGTTTGCATGCCACTACAAATCCTTATGCGCTAACAGAAGGCGCGGAATACATACAAAGTGACATTGAGAGGTGCTGCAAAAAACAAAACAATAACAAAGAAAATACATAGTGCAAATGCATGAGCGAGCTGCCGCTGTGCTTGAAAAGAAGTGCTGTGCTTCAACAGATTTGCTGTGGTTGGCTTTAGTCGGTGGCTGCCCTAGATATTGCATTTATTTTTGGTACATACTCGTACACATACTTACATATGTATGTGATGGCACTTGATAGTTTTGCTAAAGTATCAATTGATAATTTGTATCTAAATTCATGGCCTTTTTATGCTTAGCCTACTCTAGTCATAGCCTTCGTTCTTAATTGAAAAACTTCCCCTGCGATTTCAAAATGTATGCAGAAATTAAGCGATACATGTACATACATAAGCATTTCTATAACTGTTCGCTTCAGACTTAAGTCCAGTACCCTCAAGAAAATAACACGAGCGAATCTAAGATAATGGACAGCAAATACTATAGGTACATATGTATATGCTTAATAATAAGACATTAGTTAAATTATATAAAATGCGATATGAACAAAACGAAGAATAGTTTTGTTAACGTTGTTTATATTACTTACGATATGAACTCGCATCACCCTACACAAACTTTGTGAAATCTGCTGCTGTTATACCCTTTACCCCGATGGTACGCTAGGTTTGTGCAACTGTATGTAACAAGCAGAAGAAAGTAAATATAGTATAATATGTTAGCCAGCATAACGAGACACATACATACATATGTATATACCATCTACGGCTTAACCCACAGTGACCAAACTTTTGGGCCCTTTTAATCCCTAGGCAACAATACTTTTTTGGATGCTGACATATTGAAATACCTCTGTATGTACAGCTGCTTCGTAAATTCGTAAATTAAATGGAACTAACAAGTGCCATCAGCTGTTCATCTCGTATTGTCCCATTGCCATATTTTTATTATTACTCAATCGTTATGTGTTCTGTATTTTCATTAATCTGTATGTATTCGTATGTGTTCGTACTTGTGTTAATTTTTTAATTTAATTCCGCTTTACTATTTCAATAAATGTAATCATCTTATATAACAATGGTTTTGGTATGTATGTATATACTATGTACACATACATATGTACATATGTATGTATGTATGTTCAGCATGACACGTCTTTTATGTAGCTTTTAGCAATGCACTCGCTTATCGTTGTGGTTCTTTTGTTACCCTGTGGTTACTGGTTACTGGTATGTCACACAACACACTTTTCCTAAAACGCCTCCAACTCCAAAACCATCCGTACTAATCCACCTTTTGTTCATTACAGTTTTAAAGTGGCTAGCTGTAGTAAACAAGCACCCACGCGTCCTCCCCAAAATGGCGCTGGGCCACCTACGGGTTCTGGACTGCCCAAGTCTACACCTAGCAGCACAGATGACATGAACTCAGCGCTGCTGAAGTCACCCAGCGACTCCACAGATGCCAATGCATCCGCTGGAAACGGAATGTTTGGCAAATTTAAGGGCTTTACGCTGCGTCCTTTGAACAACACAAGCTCTCCGGCCAGCAATTACAACGCCCCAAATGTAGCGTTTGTGCAACCCACTTTACAGCAGGACAACAATGGGGTTCCGCAGCGAGCAGCGCCACCGCCACCGACCCCCCCACATAAGGGATCCGAGCAGGAGGCAAGAAACACCTTGCCCAGGAAGGCGCCAGCGCGACCAGCGGCACCATCTACGTTGACGTCCATACAGGCGCCGGCACTGCCGCCACCCAATCCTGGTTCTACAGCGCGGCCCATTATCTCTCAGCCAGTGCTGGACTCATCGACGCTAACTATGGTGCCGCTGAAGAAAAGCCCCGACGAGTTATCCCCAACACCTAGTGGTACACAGAAGGCAGCACCACCGCCACCAGTCCCGCTTCACACGGATCCCAAGCTTAATATCAAACGAGACGGAACTATCCGCCGCTTTGCATCATTTCTCAAGAAGGATGAGAAGCCACCACTTAAGGAGAAGACCTATATTGATCGCGAACGCCTTCGAACGCTAGAAATATCAGCTCCTATGCCGGTGGCAACACCTGTGAATGCAGAATCTTCAAACTCGGACTCTGAAACGACGCCACGTGAAGACGAAACAAAGAATTTAGTTAAGCGCACGCAATCCATGCGCTCGCCAACGAAGAAGGCCCAAATCCAAACATTTGGCTCCATGAGATCGCCTCAGGGTGCTTCGCGCCCCAAGAGTAATATTGTCAATAGCGGCAATGCATTGCGACCGAAATCGCCGCCGCCACGACCCCCACCCGTAATAAAGAAGACCAATTCTACCACCTCGTCGGGCTATCAACTGCCCGTAGCTACTGCCAAAAGCACTGTAGAAAATACCTACGATGATTGCGAGGTAGTAGAGACTGTACTTACGCAAGGAGACACGCGTGCCTCAAACGATGACATCTACTCGGTAATCGATGAAATACCGCCGGCGGCGCAGACGCTTAAGCGCAGTGATCTGGTCAGCGTAGTCTGCAATAGCTCTAGCGATATGGGACTATTGGGCGAGATTGTCAATGAATTTGAAAAGATCAATGGCGACTCCATTTACTCTGGAACAGCTCTGAACAAGCCCAATTCGACGAATGAGGCGCCACGCAGCCCAACGCGACCGGCGCCACCTAAACCTGCGGGTAGCGGCGGAGAGGAAAAGACAACCACTACGGCAGCGGCGCCCGCTGTCACGCCTACATATCTGCGTCCAGCGCCGCTTAATGCCCCGGTGGCACGAGTGGCACCCACGCGCTCTGACATATCACCATCCAGAGCGTTCTCAAGCTTCAAACCACCGCCGTTGAGTAGCGGTGTCAGCAAGACGCCAATAGCAACCGCAGCATCAACGTCTATTGATCAACCTGCGCGGAGTGGTGCCACGCGGCCTAAATCCATTACAAAAGTAGCAACAAAACCACTGCCCAATGCAACAGCCACGCCCTCAGCCACAATACAAAAACCTAAGCCGCTCTCGGCCAAGCCATCGTTCAGTAGCGGGCTGTCTAAGAGATCCCCCTCAGCTCCCTCGACATCGGCGGCCCCAACACCGCCAACGGTTAAGACCTCTAACATTGCGTCGTTAACCCAACGATTCGAAAAACGCAAGTAGTCAGCACACAACCCCTTCGCTTGGCACTGATTTCGCAGCTGACGACCAGTGGGCGTCGGTGATATTTTTCATTCCTTGAACGCGTTTTAAAATACTTCCCACTCCTTCCCCATCTGTATTACTCAGTCGAAACGTGTTTCTTTATGGCCCGTCTTCTCATCTTATTTTTTGAGTGATTAGTTAATTCATTGGACAAGAAGTTAAACTCAATTTTAATGTAGAGTGCATTTAAAGTGGACAACACTTACATATTGATTCTTATAATCAATAAGCATCAGAAGATGCCGGTTCCACTGGACAGCTTACATTTAAATGTAAATTACATCATATATGTATGTACTAGATGGAAAAAACGGGTTATTTAATTGTTATATTAAGCGGTTTTATTTGCATCTATCACTGGTATTTCAAGTTTAAAGAAGAGCAAACATAAAAGCTTCAGTTCCAAGCGACCTATTTGGGATAAAATGTATGTGCTCGGACATCATATTATCTATGAGTAGCAAGGAGGCAATATGTGTACTTGGCATTACAGCTCACCAGGGTACTGTCGGCAACGAGAAACGGATAAGGCGAAGTAACCCCAAATGGAGCTGAGTACTGTAGAAAATGCCCCTAGGGCACTACCTGCCGAGCTCCGATACTGTATATTCAATATTAAAATACCTTTAAAACAACTCTTGAAACTAGGGGATCTCGTGAATTGCGGCACCACTAAGGACCCAAGTGTCTCCTGAATTTATCGTGTTTATGTTTTCGTGTAACATTTCCAATGACTATTTCCACTAGCATATTGCACAGTGAATGAACCGGTGGAATCAGGCTATTAGTAGGCAGATGACGAAATTGAGGATGTCTATTTGTTAAAATGGTTGTCAACTTTGAGAAGAACATGAGAAGTCGGGTCTATTTATTTGTTAGCTCCCTAATGATAATATTTGATGAGTGCGAGCTCGAACGTCGAGCTCATGTATCATGCAAAATGGGAGTTGCATGTGTCTGTAATTATATCATACAAGTATTGTAGGTAATCATATAATACACATACTCGTAGTACATATATATGTATATTTATGTAGTTTACTAGATGTTATGCTTTTGTAAATAAAAACCAAAGAAGTCTAATTGTCACAAAATGCGCCACGTGCAGATATCTTAATGCAATTAATTCCACAACAAATGTAAATTTAAACGCTTGTAAACAAGATAATGCGTAATGTGCGATTTCCAATAATGCTCTCAATGATTTAAAAAAAAAACAGCTGTTTTCATAAATAAATGAATTTTTCCTTGTAAAAAAAACGTAACTGAAAAGTAGGTAACAAAAATCAACAACAAACGATATCAAAATATAACTTAGTCTAATTGGGTTAGCTTAACGCCTATGTGAAACGCCAATTATAGCGCAAAAGTTGTGTAATTTAGCTTATAAATCAAATTAAATCCCAAAATAAATGATAAATAATTTATTTTCAAAGACTGTAATTTTTACTGAATTATTTCAAGCTAGTATTTGGAATATTTTATCAAAACAAAATGATACGGTCGTACAATGGGTCAATACACTGTACCAACAAGTGGGGAAGATAAAGTCGGGTATCCCAACTTTGACATACATACTTTGTACATATGTGTAGATAAATTATATAAATTTAAAACAATTCAGAAGATTGAAAAAAAGTAACGAAACTGTAATTTTACAAACAAATTTTTGAACACATAGGAATTGTGTCTATGTGAGTTTGTGCGTGAAATTGTGCCTGTGTGTTAGCATGTGTGCAGTACAGAGTTGAGTCAAAGCAGCAGCAACAACCACAGCTTCGGGCAGCGCTAGAAGAGATTATATTTATGGCTAAAACTTCCTTTCAAATCGACCTATCATGATAAAACTTGGCATACGGACATCACAGGATATAATTACCAAATTTGATTCCAAAAAGTTATGGAAAATCACTAATTATAGGGGAGAGGGGGAAATTCCGAAATAAACATTTTCTGCGTATTCGCCTAAAAAGCCACACAAACAAGACTAAAATAGCCAAAAGTCAAATTTTGGTCAAGAACATACCAAATTAGGCCGAATTCATGGAGTTAATCTAATGCACTAACGAGAAGTTGATCCATAGAGAAGAAGTGAACCATACTTCTTCAGAAACAGCCAGCTACGTATACAAAATATTGGAATATGAAGTCGACACCAGATATAGCAAGGGACTTCTACAGAAGGGACAACTGGAAACTCCTTTCAAACCACACAAAAACTTAGAACAAATATTGGCATAACAAGAAGGTAATGCTAAAGTCGAGCGAGCTCACATACCCTGTACCTCCAAAAAAAAAAAAGAAAAAAAATTTAAAAAAAAATGTTTAATTATTTAAAAAAAATGTTTAACAAATTAAAAAAAATTAAATGAATTAATTAAATTAAATACAAATACATACAAAAGTGAAGACATGTTTATGTACAGTTTCAACATCATACATTTCCATCAGAATCGTGTCTCTGCGTGTATGTACATATGCAGCACAAAGTTGAACCAAAGCAGCAACAACAACAGCTACGGGCAGAGCTGCAGAGCATGGGCAGAGATTTTATTTATGGCTATAACTTTCTTCAGAGTTGACCTATCATGATGAATCTTGGCATACGGAGACTTATTTAGAAAATGGACGTAATTGCCATATTTTAACATTTCAAAGTTCAAAGAATATACGGTTAAATACGGTTACTTATGGAAAAAACAGGAATAGCGGGAGAGTGAGGAGGGTGCATCAGAAAAAAAACACAATCTCGGACTTGGGAGAATTTGGATACCAAGTTCGGTTATTCTAGCTCTTATACTTTCTGAGATCCTTGCATTCATACAGACAAACAGACGGACAGACAGACGGACGGACGAACCGACAGACGGACATAGCTACAAGGTAACTAACAAGCTTCATATGCCACAGGTCCCTAGCGCACAATTATGCTATTGCTCGCTTTAATCAATTTAATTCAAATAAACAGCATCAATACCAACAAATGTTATGTCATTTCTTCAATACACACTACATAGTATAATCAAAACATCCACTTCGATTGATCACAAAGAAAGCCTTAATCATATTGCACATACCAACTGATCCCCAACTTATCTCTATATATATAAAACAGTTTGTCCTGACTGACTGATTGGTCATCAACGTACAGCCCAAACGGTAAAAGCTAGGAAGCTGAAATATGGACTCAAGTATCCTTTCATAGTGTGCCCACTAAGGAAGGATTTTGGAAAATTCGAGCTCCAAAGGGGGGAATACAGGCTCCAACGTTTGTATGAAAAATCTACAATTTTCATCTGGTTAACTTCAAACTTAGTTTGTATACTCTCAGAAAAATTCCAAGAAAAACTGTATACTTGGTTTTTTGGGGACTAAAATATGGGAGTTTACCTGTAAAAAAAATGGGGCACAAAAGGAAACCGCGTCAACAGCCCACAGCCCAAACGGCAAGAGCTATGAACCTGAAATTTGGGCTCAAGGATCCTATCATAGTGAAGGTGCCCACTAAGAAGATTTTGAAAAATTCAAGCTCCAAAGGGGGGAAAACGAGCTCCAAAGTTTGTTTGAAAATTCTGAATTTCTGCATCGATCAACTTTAAATTAATGCATATGTACACACATATGTATGTATGTATGCCTGTGTACGTACATATATAGCATGTATGTACATTCGTTTGTATGTATACATTGGACAATCGAGCACTGTTGTTTGATTGTAATAAATAATGTTATATGGTTTTAAATCAAATTTTTAAAACTAAAAACAACAAAAACTACAAGTCATTGGCTCGCGCTTCTTCTTTCGTTTTGATCATTTACGCCTGTTAATTTCAAAGGCAAAATGTCAAAAGTTTACAGTTACCGTCTCTAGCCAACGACTGCGTAAGCGATAGTAAAGCAGAAACCGAAAGCGGACCTACGCATATTCTTCTTCACGTTGCGGGCAGATGTACATATGTATGTTTGTATATGATTTGTTCTAATTGATCTCAATAAATTATAAGATGTTATTATTTAAATTTTCTGTTAATTGCATTCAAACTTCGATGGAATTATTGATTGTATCGACGGATTCAACTATCGATAGTTTTGATGCTCTAACACATAGAGCATCCGACACATGCCCATCTCTAGCATCTCAGCTGATCGCATATTTACAGCGACTTGCCGTTTTAGTGTTAGCTAACAACGCTACAAATATACTCTGAACAAATCTAAGAGTCATTTATCGTTAAGCCTATTTTGTGAGTTTATTCATGCGATTTACAAAAGCAGAAACACACCTTTTACATTCACAACAATCATATTTGGAATTGAAGACACAAATTAGTGTTGAATTAAAAAATTTAATACATATGTATGAAAAATTTAAATGTATGTACATACATATCAGCGTTACCGAACGCTCCAATTTTGGCGGGACGTCCCGATTTATAAATCAAAATTAAATGTCCCGCGTTGGACTTTTCGGGGATAACTCAACCGTGCGTACAACGTGCTGAGGAAGCACACAGTTGTCAGGACTGGCATTCCGCCCGGTGCGTAACGAAGATATGTATGTACATATGTATGTATGTACGTATAACCATACATAGTACTTATTGTACTATATTTGCTATTTGGAAAATGAACTCTTTAAAAAACTTTATAGAGCGTCGAAAGAAGAATATCATATAGTAAATAAACTTATAATTATAATCACATTGTATTAAGCTCAGCAAAGACGGGCAAGACCTGCTAGTTAACTCATATAACTTTACCTAGACCAGAACGGCTATCAATTAGACTACACCAGAACACAGTCTTATTTCGAGAACGAAAAGAAAGTATGTATTTAACCAAGAAAACAAAGAAAGAAACAATTTATGTGTTGCTGACAGAGCCAGCCGCAGAACCCCAGATTACAATATTGTGCCAGTATCCGCAACAGAAATAATTAAATATGTAGAACCCAATGTAATTATAACTTGGAACATATGTATCATGCACATAGTAAAACTAATATCATACGAAATTGTACAAAGCTACACAACAATTTACAAATAGGGAAATAAAATTGTAATCTTCAATTTATGTGTTACCAATTCACACCAAAAACATATGTATATATGTACATACATATATACGATTTCTTTCAGTGATGGGTAACTAGAGTGGACAAATTGGAAGACGTGGGCTTGTAGGGTTTGTGTACTTTTTCGGGAGGTAGAGTCTGAGTATTAGGCTCTAATTGCATGTGTGTACGTACATATTTTATAGAAATTATGTTTTTTATCTAGGAGTTACAGAGAGGTATTTCTAAGACGTGGCAGGAATACCCATATATTGTTGCATCGGGCTGGTCACGAAGAATAAAAGGTGGCAGCGCTACGGAAGGCGCCAAGAATTTATAAAGGTACTGCAGCGCCATCTAGCGGTACCGAGCGAGGCACCATGGTGGCAACTGCAGCCACGCAGGCGCAGGGTTGTGTCCCGATGGCACCTCAAAGTGGGGAAACGTCAAGGCCGTGATGAACGGATGCGCAAGGACGTAAAAATCCGCAGGCATACGACATCCGGCCTATAAAAGGCAAGCCGCAACACGCCATTCCTGTTTTTGGGGCGACGGTGCAGACCCACGAGGCAGTGTTTTCTTTTGGTGAACTGGAGGCCGTGCTGAAACCTGAAAAAGGAAAGGAAGAACCAGAAGCCGTTCGAAGGTGAGCATAAGGATATAGATGCAAGGCAGAACTAATGCCGATGTATACATACCTGTATATCCACTTAAATGTGCCGACCAGTGCTTAAATGCCTTTTGTTCCTTGGCATATAGATTTTCCGGCATATCGCCAAGTTTTCGGACAGCGGTGGAACCATACACAGCAGCTGCAGCGGCCGTCATAAGTAGCAGCACGAGCCGCATCGTAGCAGGAGCAACAACGACAGCAGCAGATCCAGCACCAGCGTTTTCAACGGCAGCAGCAGCAACGACAGTGGCAGCCGGAGCAAAGGCGCCCACCCAAGAAGTGGCAGCAGCAATAGCGGCGCCACCACAACGCAACAGCAGACACGTCCGTCTGCGCCATCAGCAGCGGAGGATAGACAAGCCGGTGAGTCCGTTCCTTGGCCACGCGCCGTGCCTATTGTTCGCGGTTGAGCAGCGACATCAGGCAGAGATCCCGCGCGCCTTACGTCGTGTCGTTTGTATGGGCTGCGCCTGCAGGGTCCCACACGCCGCCCCATTGAAGTTTCTGCAAAAGAAAAAAAAAGAAGATAAAACAAAATATATATACATAGACCATTAAAACCAAAACGAGGCAGAAAGTGGCACCTAGACAGAGCTTGGCGCTCTATTTAATTAATAAAAAATTCACACTCTTATACACTTATATTGTACGAAGATTGCCAATTGCAGTAGCGCGCAGTGTTTTATATTAGTCTTATATTTCTATTGCG